CATCATCATCATCAGCATCATCAGCATCATCATCATCATCATCATCATCATCATCATAATCATCAGCATCATCATCATCATCATCATCATCATCATCATAATCATCAGCATCATCATCATCATCATCATCATCATCATCATCATCATCATCATCATCATCCTCGTCCCCGCTTCTGGAACCGCGCAAACCTGAATTAGGTTGGTAAAACTTGTCCCGTTCACATGAACGTTAACATCCCACCCCACCCCCCACCCCACCCCGCGTGTGCGTAGCATCAACTGCTGCCGCAAGTTCACATGAACGTTAACATCCCACCCCACCCCCCCCACCCCGCGTGTGCGTAGCATCGCTGCCGCAAGTTCACATGAACGTTAACATCCCACCCCACCCCACCCCACCCCCCACCCCGCGTGTGCGTAACTGCTGCCGCAGTTCCAGAAGCCAGGACAAGCCTATATATACATATATGTGTATATATATATATATATACACACATATTGGGGATTATCATCAGCCATGAACTGGGAATCCCGTTCTGAGGCGCGCCTCGTCGCCACACAACCGCTGCCAGCGCCGGCGCCGGCGCTGGGTGTCCCTGTGACACCGGTGACACCGGTGACACCGGTGACAGCGGCAGTGCCATGCTCTCGGTGGAACAGAACGGTGCCATGCTGAAAAGTTGATTCATATATGGTACCCTCTGGTAAACTAACATAACTATGGAAAATCACCATTTTTTATGGGAAAACTCACTATAAATGGCAATTTTCAATAGCTACGTTAAATTACCAGAGGGTAGATACCTCCAATTTAGGTTATTTAGGTTCCTGAAATGGCCATTGAATTAATGGAATATGAGTGACAAGTTGATTTAAGGGCTACGCCAACTTTCAAGATGAATGGTGAGAGCCCAACATATCAATGGGATGTAGATGTCCCAAAAAGATAGACATGTGTTTCTAGGATGTGAAATGGATGATGTTCCCCCATCATTTGCAAGTTTTCGACTTGTCTATCCATTTGGGGGTTTCTATATTTGCCATGGTCAAGTGACGTGGATGGTCATCCCTGAATAAAAAAAAGGGTTGATATACCCATCATATGGAATCCCAATCCCAAACGATGGTGGGATGACTATATACCCCATCTACAAAGTTTTGACCATGGACAATCTGGGGATCAAGACAATATTTTTTTGTTCAAAAGTGACCACATCCGGGCTTTTGACTTGTTTTTTTGGACCTTAAACTTTGACCCACACCCACATCTGATAGATCAAATAACGACCTCACTGCGGATCTCACAGTGTCACAGGAATGATGCTTGGTCAGGGGTAACTATCCCAAAACAGCTTGATTTCAGATTTGTGATTTACTATAATTTACCCATAATGATGATGATACCACTTGATCATGATGATAGCGATCATAGTGATAGTGATGGCAATCATAAACATCATCATCATCATCATCATCATCAACAACAACAACGACGACAACGACGACAACGACGACAACAACAACAACAACAACAACAACAACAACAACAACAACATCAACATCAACATCAACATCAACATCATAATCATAATCATAATCAACAACAACAACAACAACAACAACACCAACACCACCACCACCAACAACAACAACAACAACAACATACAACATACAACATACAACATACAACATACAACATACAACATACAACATACAACATAGAACATAGAACATAGAACATAGAACATAGAACATAGAACATAGAACATAGAACATAGAACATAGAACATAGAACATAGAACATAGAACATAGAACATAGAACATAGAACATAGAACATAGAACATAGAACATAGAACATACAGCAACAACAACAACAACAACATACAACATACAACATACAACATACAACATACACCATACAACATACAACATACAACATACAACTACAACAACAACAACAACAACATACAACATACAACATACAACATACAACATACAACATACAGCAACAACAACAACAACAACAACAACAACAACAACATACAACATACAACATACAACATACAACCTACAACATACAACATACAACATACAGCAACAAGAACAAGAACAAGAACAACAACAACAACAACAACAACAACAACAACAACAACATACAACATACAACATACAACATACAACATACAACATACAACATACACCATACACCATACAACATACAACATACAACTACAACAACAACAACATACAACATACAACATACAACATACAACATACAACATACAACATACAACATACAACATACAACATACAACATACAGCATACGGCAACAACAACAACAACAACAACAACAACAACAACAACATACACCATACACCATACACCATACAACAGACAACATACAACATGCAACATGCAACATACAGCAACAACAACAACAACAACAACAACAACAACAACATACAACATACAACATACAACATACAACATACAACATAGAACATAGAACATAGAACATAGAACATAGAACATACAACATACAACATACAGCAACAACAACAACAACAACAACAACAACAACAACAACAACAACAACATACAACATACAACATACAACATACAACATACAGCATACAGCATACGGCAACAACAACAACAACAACAACAACAACAACATACACCATACAACATACAACATACAACATACAACATACAACATGCAACATGCAACATACAGCAACAACAACAACAACAACAACAACAACAATATACAACATACAACATACAACATACAACATAGAACATAGAACATAGAACATAGAACATACAACATACAACATACAGCAACAACAACAACAACAACAGCAATTTCAATTTGCAGACTGTTCTTCCAGAAATCAGAGGCCTCAAGCTCCAGCGACTGAAGACCTCATGAGAGCTTGCGAGCAATCGTCGCAGCTGGCTTGTTGGAAACACCAGGGGATGGATGAAACATATGTGGGTGGACTGGGTGGGCTTTTGGGACATCAAGCCATCTATTTTTGGGCGTTCATAGTTGCAAACCATGCTGACAGGGTCGATCAAGGGGATTGATCCATGGCCAAATCGTCACAGGATCCGTTTGCATGGCGATCTGCCTCTTGGATGGAACTCATGGAAATTTGGATCTTTCCAGCACTCTTTTAGCACTTTTGCGTACTTTTGAGTCATCCCAAAGTGCATTTTAGGATCTCCCCAAATCCAACTTGTCGATGGCAGGCTTGCGGAGGCTGAAAGATCCAACGATTGGAGGACCGATAGAGAGATTGATATTCAGACTCACAAGCGACAAGGCAAACCCGCTAAAGATCTTGCAACCAATTGGTATTGACCCAAAAAAGATTGTCAGATTTTTTCAGTCTTAGTCTTAGTCCATTTTGGTGGGTTGATAGTTTTGACCCATACCCAAATGGAGGTCTCCTAAAATGGGGGTACCCCAAAACCAGTGGTTTCAATACTAAAAGGGTCCAATTTATTCCAATTTCATTTGGATGATTTGGGGTACTGTACCACCATTTCAGGAAATCCCCAAATGGTTGCCATGGGCTGAACAGGAAGCAAGAGCTGGCGGTGACGCTGCGCCATTTAAGGCAGGGATTCTTCGGACATGTCGCAGGCTTGAAATCGATTGTTGCAGAATCTTGGAGGAGACACACATCGTAGATATAATATCATTATATATCATTATATACTGTATCATTATATATCATTATATATCATTGCATATCATTGCATATCATTATATATCATTATATATCATTATATATCATTATATATCATTATATATCATTATATATCAGTATATATCAGTATATATCATTATATATCATTATATATAATTATATATCATCATGTTATTATATATCATTATATATATATATCATATATCATCTTATATCATTATATATCATTATATATCATCATATTATTATATATCATTATATATCATTATATATCATTATATATCATTATATATCATTATATATCATTATATATCATTATATATCATTATATATCATTATATATCATTTTATATCATTATATATCATTATATATCATTATATATCATTATATATCAGTATATATCATTTTGTATCATTATATATAATTATATATAATTATATATAATTATATATAATTATATATAATTATATATCATCATGTTATTATATATCATTATATGTATATATATATATATCATATATCATCTTATTTCATTATATATCATTATATATCATCATTTTATTATATATCATTATACATCATAATATATCATTATATATCATTACATATTATTATATTTCATTACATATCATTACCTATCATTACATATCATTATATATCATTATATATAATTATATATCATCATATTATTATATATCATTATATATTATTATATATCATTATATATCGTCATATACCATTATATATTAGGATATATTATTATATATGATTTTATATCATTATATATAATTATATATCATCATGTTATTATATATCATTATATATCATTATATATTATTATATATCATTATATATCATTATATATCATTATATATCATTATATATCATTATATATCATTAAATATCATTATATATAATTATATATCATTATATATCATTATATATCATTATATATCATTATATATCATTAAATATCATTATATATCATTATATATCAGTATATATCAATATATATATATACTATTTGATATTTTCACTTGGATTTATATCCATGTATTCAATGTTCTTCATACTTATTCAGGTCAGGCTTCAAGATACTTAGCTGGGATGTGGTGCAGCTTGCTAGGTCCCAACTTCTGGACCTGAACGTCCCAGACTCAAAGTGTAGATCCAAAGTGCTACATATCTGTACTTGGTGGGATGTGGTGATTCACGGTGAAAGTTTGGTACCGGTACGAAAAAAACAAGCCAAAAAACGGATGAGATCCATTTGCAGCAAACGCGTCTCAAACCCATGGCGCTGTCAGCGGTAGCGTCTGTGCGAGCTGCGCCTTCGGCTCACAGGCAGGGCCAGTGAATCTGAGGATGAGCTAAGAACAATATGGGAGTGAACCAACAGCAACGATGGCGATCTAACTGATCTAACCATCAAATGCATGGTAGTGAGTTTAGTGATGAGTATTCGACATGTTCCAAGAACGGATGACGTTTAAATGAGACATTTCACCGCCCTGTCGATCTGAAGGTTTTTTGTGGGATTGAAATCTCTGATTTCGCCAAAGAATCGTGCGGGGGGTTAGTTCACATCCATAGAAGATATGAACTCGTGGGTACTGATCGAGCCTTGATCCATAGCCACTTCCATTGTCAGCTCCAGCTGATGTTTCTGACTAGGCCACACGCATCGCTTCGACCGTCAACTCCTAGCAGAAAGTCGTCCTCGCATGGCCAAACCATTTCAGGTGTCGGCTGGTTGCAAACTGAGAGAAGGAACTGGTTTAATCGGAGACTTTCAATGCGGAAATCAGGATAAATCAGGTTTAATCGGAGACTTTCAAGCCATTTCAGGTTCCATGTCCGTTTTTCATTTTTGGGTGTCAGCTGTGAACGGTACAGTAAACATGGAGAGTTGATTGGAGGTCACATTTAAAGATCGGAACAGCTTCGGATTTCTCAGGGGATCCACGGCAAAAAAACAGCACTGAAATTACTTACCCTCTGGTTATGACTAACATAGCCATGGTATAGATGGCCCATTTAGATGGTTTACCTATTAAAAATGGGTGCATTTTCCATGGCTATGTTAAATAATAACCAGATGGTAGAAGCCGTTCATGGGTTATTCAAGACTCCAGGACCAGGACAGATCAGATCGGTGAAGCATGTCTCCTCCCGAATTGTCCGTACTCGCATGACTTGTTGTAACTTTGAAGTGATCGAAGGGCTCTATTTTTTCCTTAGATTTTAAACACCGCTCCAGGATTTTTGATGGTTTTTGTATTGGCCCTGGAGCCGTTTGTCAGTTTCAAAAACGCAATGGCCAGGCATGGCGTTTTTGAGTGGCCTATTTGCTTTCGGACGGCGGTCCCGGCCCAGTTCCACTCAAGTGCGTGCCAAGGCGCTGAGATGGAAGCCGCCAGATCCGCATTTTCACCGATTTCACATGGTTTCAATAATATATCTATCTATATGTATATATATATATATATGTATACTTTATATGTATACATTATAATATTATAATATATATATATAGATATATTACACACACACATATATACATATATATATATATATACATGTATGCAGAGTACATATGGTACAAAAAGGTTTTGAATCCCATGAGATCCCAACACGGTTTTTCACGGCAACGACCAGCTTTTCACAGGGTGGATGGCCTCAAAGCTTTGTCTCTGCGGATGCTGCGCAGACCTTGCGCGAGGTTCGCTGGCCAGAGGAGTGGCCTTACACCGAGGTGCAAAACTTGCTGGTTTCGGATGATGGGAAAAATTACAGGAAAGCCCTATATTTGATGGTAAAAACCATGGTTTCCTGTAATATTTCCCTTAAACCAATCCAGTGAAAAACTTGCTGGTTTCCCTGTGGCATCATTTTTCTTCAAAACCAGCAAAAGTTGGATGCAAAACCATACAGCAAGGAGCAAAACCATAATCCAAATTGATCCAAATTGCCCTTTTGTTGGGGACCCCGGCGGGACCCCCCCCATTTTTGTGGCAACTTCTCAGCCAAGCGAAGGTGGACTTTTCTAGGCAAGACGAGAGCACTGATGCCGGTTTTTATTCGCAGCCACGCATTTGCACCCATGTGGATGACTCTCGGTGCATACAGCTGTTGGATCATGATCCATCTCACGGATCTTGGCCCAAGTTTCTGTTTCTGTTGTAGTCCAACCAACTGGACTGACTTTCAATATGGAAATTTGATGAAATTTGAACGAAATTGATGACGATTGCTTCATTTATGCTACGCCCGTGCACCATACTTGGCATCTAAGGACCATTTCATTGCCACCTTGACCAAACACTACGCTGAGGTGTTCCCAACCTATCCCAATGCCGCTCGGTTTGGCCCTGGCTGAGCCGGTTCTGCGTTGATTTTATTGCCAAGTTGAAAAGGGCGGACACGGTTCAGACAAAATATTCATGACGTTTGGCTTGAAATGGGTGCTTCTGTGCTCCAAACTGAAGATTTGAGTCACTTTCAGTATCTTTCAGTACTACTTACTACACCATCCATTTGTCAAATTGCCACATGTGAAAGACCAAACCTTTGTCATATCAAGCCCTTTGTGCACCCGCATGGCTAAGGCGAGGATTTTGGCCGCTTTGCTGCATGGAAACACATCTGGGCACAACACATGCCATCGCTGCTAGATTGCCCAGGGTCCAGCGACTGCAGACCCATCCCGTGCTACTGCGATTCAGCATAAGGATATTTGTTCAAGCTGGATCAGCCACTATCCAACTGAAAAGACCTGGTCTCATGTCACTTGGAATCATCAGCTGCCTGATGTTTCTTGCAGAATCGCTTTTGGAAGTTTTTGAAGGTTGTCAAAGTATGTCAAAGTTAATGTCTATATTGTATAATTGTATGGTTTTCCTTGTTCTTTTCATGTAAAGTTCGCCATGTGAAGTTTCGCAGTTTTCATCTTCGGTGATCCCAGTTGCAACTCCACACTTGGCAGGTCTCGATTACTGGCATGAACGCATCCTGGCTGCAGCCGCAGACTGCTGAAGTCCCTGGAGCTGAGCAGCTCAGGAATATGAGTTGCAGCAGAACAAACAGGCGGACGACTATTCCGTGCCATGGATGAACTTGACATGGCAAGTTTTGTGCAGATCCAGTTTTTTGATAGCACTTCTCCTTGGCATCGATGCATGATTGATTTTCTGGACATCCCTGCGATGATGGAGGATATTGGAAATAGGATCCATACACTGATTTATAGTAGTTTTCTGTACGTAAATGGCTATTTGGGGAAACCCATTTTCAGGTACGAAATCCATGTGGGATTTTCTTGCGGAATCCCCAAAACTCTGGATCTGGTAGGCATGTCCAGTGAGCAGTGAGTGGGTTATAAGTTATAAGCCTAGTTATAAGATGTTATAAGTACCTAAGGGCAAGTAGGATTGGTTCAGTTGTAATTGGGGTTATAGGGTTATAGTTATAGTTATAGTTACTAATTGGGTTATCCTTACATCAGTTGTAATTGGGTTCCAATCCTAATAATATTGTAATTGGAGTTATAGTTATAACCCACTTATTTCCTGGGGTGTTTCACCACCGAGACTCGGTGTCTTTCCCGATGAGCCAGGTCCGGGACCTGAATGAGAATGATCCCAAGTTGCCTTACGATGATGCGTCCGGCTGCTGAGAAAACTTGGTTTTGGAGGAATCAATCAGCAACCATGAGAGGTTGAAGCATGTTAAACCAGTGTTAAGCCCTTCAGGGAAGATATGAGAGTGATATGAGCATCAAGAACAGGGGATCTAAGCAGGACGAAGAACGAAGTGTTTTCGCAGCTGGAGAGTTCGAATTGATGCCCCAACCTTTGCGAATTGCAGGTCATTTGACATCGTCACCTGTACGGTGTCCTTTGACTATTTGTGCAAGCCTTTGGAGGCTGGGATGTGAACAAAATAAGCTTCCCTGAGAGCTGCGCTTATCTGCTTGGATGATCTTGGATGCCCCATCAACTGTGTTGTTTTGGCCTCCTTTATAGCTAGTTTCCTTCGGTTTTTGTGCCCTCAGGATGCATGGTGATTCCAAATGCCCACCTCGCAGGTGATGAAAGAGGTTGGCCGTGTGCTGAAACCTGGTGGTATGGTGATCCTTTCCACCAGCAATCGATGCTTTCCAACGAAGGCCAGCAGTTTGACGGAGTTTGACGCCGCCATGGCTGCGTTCAGTTGGTGTATTCCACATCCTGTATGAACTCATTGTGGCATTTGTGGCCGTCTAGCCGCCTGGAAGGCTGTGAACATTTGGTTGCAAACTGGAGACCTAGAGCATGCCTCTCGACATCAGCTTCCAGCTGCGGATTGGAGGCCCTGATATTGCCCTGGGATGGACATGGCAGGGGTTGCCGATTTTCCTGAGGTTTTGATTTATGGCAGCTATATGATCCTCTGCAGCATTTGGTGGAAGCAATGACCTGTGATTTATTTGGCCACCGCTGTTTGCGGGAATAGCAAGTCTCTATCAGACTCTATCAATTGAACTGCCTGGGCCGAAGGGGCCCTTTTGCCATTTCAGATATTTCAGCTTATGGCATTGACGAAGTGCTGGAACTTGACCTCGATCCGAATCTAAGGCATTATGCGGGTGCTTTTGAAGCCCCTGAAGCGTTGGACTTGTCTGGGCCATTGTCGCGAATGGGATTTCAAGATCCCGTCTATGTCATCCAAGCTAAGACGCTTGCACTGATCATTTGATGGATCAATATTCCAATATTCCAATATGATCCTTGACCATCACATTGATATATTTGATATGCAATGCTAAAGGGAAACGGCTGCTTTTTGTCCCCAAAAATAAAGGTGGTCAGGTATTTTTTGCCAACCCCATTTTGCTTTGATCCGAGGAAGTCAGGGTGATGCAGAGCCCTTGTTCAAAGAAACAATTGGAGCTGCAATTTTCCTATGGCTCCAGAGGACCTTTGTGCTCCCTCAACACGCGTTGTGCGATGCCGGAACCATGGCATCGTTGAAACCAAACCTGATCAGAGTCCGGCGATTCAAAATCTGCTCTAGCTGCCCTGGGAGTAGTTTCTTCCTTCGAGTAAAGACACCGCACTTGCCTGCACTCTTCCGTGGTATGTGAAGCAATTCTCTTAATTCCTCTCATTTTGCAGTCTTGAGATTAACATACAATCACCATGATCCCCATATGATCCCCATATAATCTCCATATTATCGCCATGAGATCATCCAATAGACAATAGACTTCGACCAAGCTGGAAAAAATACTGGAAAGGCATGGAAAGGCCTTTTAGACGACCTACAGAATGAACTGAAACCGGACACCGGATGATCAACACCCCCCCTGTGTTCACCAGAAGCATATCATAAACCATCAGAAACCATCCCTAGTTGGACTAGTTGGAGGTATTTTAATGTATTTTATAAGTGAGTTCACATGAGTTCACATGAGTTTCACATAGTTTCTTTCATAACTCAAGGAAATAATATGGAATTACAGGGAAATAGAAGCTTTAGGATATTTGCAAAGCAATTGTTTCGGATGGAAACCCAGTTTGAACATGTTTGAACGGGTTTTGAGCAAATTGTATTGAATCAGGTAACTGCAGCCATCCACATGACTCATTTTGTCAAGAATTTGGGTGACAAACTAGTAGATGTTCACAGCGTAGGTCAAAATAAAGTATGCGCAGAAAATAACAGGAGCCATAAAGAAACAAAGGCAGGTACCTAAAGAAATAATCCAAAACCAATACTTACAACAGCTCATTGGACTTGCTCCACAGCAGCAGCTGTTGGTGTTGGGCATGAACATGGACATAATGTATATACACTCTTAAATTCTTCAAGTCTGTTCGCTTTTGTTCGAAAATTTTGTTTAACAATGTTCATGCTTATTTTTCTTGGTCTTTCGTTTTTACATGTATGGTGCTTAGAATTATTTTGACTTTTTTTGCAGACAGAAGCCTTGCCGACTGCCAACGAAAAATCTTTTCTATGAATCTTTAAAAAGGCCCGCCGCAGGCGCCACTTTTGAGCATTTGGATTGTCGCTCAAAGAACATTGCTTCCACCAATTTGAAAGCAATCTAAAAACTAGACACTACAAATATGCATTGGATTTTTAAGGATATTTCATGTATTCATTTGTTTCAATGTTTTCATTTTCATTTTTATATATGACCTTTTTTTTCCCGAAAAGGCAATCTTTGAAATTTCTTGAAAGAGCACAAGCACAGATTTGTATTTTTATTACATTTTTTCATGTTTTCTTTTTTTTTTTCAAATTTTTATTTTATTTATTATTATTTTTTAAATTTATGTTTATTATTTTTTATTTTCATTATTTATTTACTTTTTTCCTTATTTCCGCGCAAATTCATTAAATTCAAGGGCTGGCCTTGAATTTAAGGAATCTCGACTTTTTTCCACGATTATTTGAACATGTTGAAATTCAATGTTTTTTTTTCTAAAAAAAATCGTGGAAAAGCAAAACCCATTAGGATTAAAAAAAAAAAAACATTGAATTTCAATTTTTTTTTTGAAAAATAATCATGGAAAAGAGTCGAACTTCCTTAAATTCAAGGCTAGCCCTTGACTTTTAGGAATTTGCCCGGAAATAAGGAAAACAAATAAATGAAGAATATAATTTACTGTAACATAAATTAAACACCATAAACATATATAAATAAAATAAAATGAAAATTAGAAAACATGAAAAACAACAAGTAAAACAAATAAAAAAAATAAAAGAAACATATCAAAAAAATAAAATATTAATAATAAACAAAAAATCCAACAAACAAATCATAAATAATGAACAATAAAAAACAGAAAACAAATAAATAATAAATCATAACCAATAAAAAAGTAACACAAATAAAAAACACGAACAAAAAAATGTTTTTGTTTAAATGTGTAGCGTCTATTCGTCTATTTTGAAATGGTTTTCAGATTGATGGAATCAATTCTTTTTGGCGACGATCCAAACACTGAAAGTGGCACCTGCGGTGGGCCTTTTTTTAAAGATTTATGGGGTGTATTTTGTTGAGCAGCCGGCGGCGGTTCTTCCTGCAAAAAAAAGAAGCAAAATTATTGAACAGATCAGTAAAGAAATGAAAAAAAAGACGAAATCGGGGCTGTGTCTCAAAATTAGTTTCGCAACCATTTTTCAGCCAAGGATTCCCGCACATTTGATTTGATGCATTTTACGTACTGCATGCACCTTATTTCCGGTGACAGACCTTAAATAAGTTAACAAGTTTCACATGGGTTTCCCGGTTTACTACAAAAATACTCCCCAACGGCCTCCGCAACACGGCTGCAAGGCCAAGCCCACTCCGGTGAATTCATTTGCAACGGCCAACGCGGTGACAACGTCTGCGCGGCATTTGTCGCTTTCACCAGGCGGGGAGTGAAAGGATGGAAGCCCCCGCCCGTTACGCCGCTACGGTATGTGCCACGGAAGAATTTAAGAAGTGATTCAGCAACAACACTCATAAAACATCATAAAACTCTAGTGGCGCACCTGAGTTGATAGCTAACAATAATCTTAATCATTCAATTAGACTCTATGTTCATTGATTAATAATCATTCGCAGCTGAGTCTAGTTGAAACATGTTGAAACTTCACAGGTGATTCCCATTGCATGGCTTTCCCAGCGATGGCATGACCAGGTGCGCAAAACCGAGTTCTTCGAACTGCACCTGAAACCCCCAGACGAGGAGCTGGTTTTCAGTGCCACTGCCATTTCTTAACTTTATGCATACTTATTCTAGATTATGATATATAGTAATATATAATAGTAATATTACCCACAGACACCGTGTGTTGCCCAGACCCACAACTGACACGTTAGATGTTGTTAGATGATGCTGATGATGATGATGATGATGATGAAGATGATGATGATGATGCTGATGATGATGATGATATTATTATTGGCAACACGCGGTGGCTGTGGGCTGTTTCTAAGATATGGAAGATATGGGATCTAACATGTAAGATATCTTCATATCATCATGAGCTATTAAAATCCGCCACCCCCTTGAACTCTATATTGATATGGGATCTAACATGTAAGATATCTTCATATCATCATGAGGTATTAAAATCCGCCACCCCCTTGAACTCTATATTGATATGGGATCTAACATGTAAGATATCTTTATATCATCATGAGGCATTAAAATCCGCCACCCCCTTGAAGTCTATATTGATATGGGATCTAACATGTAAGATATCTTCATATCATCATGAGGTATTAAAATCCGCCACCCCCCTTGAACTCTATATTGATATGGGATCTAACATGTAAGCTATCTTCATATCATCATGAGGTATTATAATCCGCCGCCCCCTTGAACTCTATATTGATATGAAATCTAACATGTAAGATATCTTCATATCATCATGAGGTATTAAAATCCGCCACCCCCTTGAAGTCTATATTGATATGGGATCTAACATGTAAGATATCTTCATATCATCATGAGGTATTAAAATCCGCCACCCCCTTGAACTCTATATTGATATGGGATCTAACATGTAAGATATCTTTATATCATCATGAGGCATTAAAATCCGCCACCCCCTTGAAGTCTATATTGATATGGGATCTAACATGTAAGATATCTTCATATCATCATGAGGTATTAAAATCCGCCACCCCCCTTGAACTCTATATTGATATGGGATCTAACATGTAAGATATCTTCATACCAACATGACGGATTGAGAGATCTTCATGATGATCATCATGAGGGATTCAAATCAGCCACCACCACCCCCTCTGATTTCTATACATATATATGCAGATCACACGGATGTTACCCCATATGAACCTATCAGCAGGATGGCTCAAAGGCCGCAGCGTCCCTTGGAGGCTGTATGGCTGTGGTGCCAAGGCGGTCTCTCTGACCGCGATCGCTCCAAGTGGCAAGCAGCCAGTTCCCGGCGCCACGAATCGTGCCGTTGGCTCTACAATTAACTGATCGCTCCAATTCAGAGGTCGCAAAAAGACAGCAGGTCCGGAATTTCTGCTTTGTGACTCAACATGTTCATCTTCATCACCATCATCGTCATCATCATCATCATCGTCATCATCATCATCATCATCATCAAGATCAAGATGCAGATCAACATGCCGGGAACGTCCTTGTAAATCTCCGGGCAACACAAGGCGTCTGGCCGTAATATTATATAGTATATTAATCCCTTCCCCCTAATACTAACCCCCCCTCCCCCAAATAATAAAAACCTCAGGTAGTTTTGACTATTAGGGTGGTATTTATTATTAGGGAAACCTATTAATAAATTAAAACCCTTAATAAACAAACTATTTGTTTCGATTTCAAAATCAATTAAATTTCCTTATATAACGCAATCAAAATATTGCCAAAAATTGGATTTCGATGCGGACCCTATTAATAAATTGAAACCCTTAATAAAAACCTATTTCTTTCGATTTCAAAATCAATTAATTTTCCTTATAAGTCCTTATATTATTAAGATATTGCCAAAAATTGGATTTCGATGCGGACCCTATGAATAAATTGAAACCCTTAATAAAAAACTATTTTTTCGATTTCAAAATCAATTAAAATTTCTTATATAATTAAGATATTGCCAAAAATTGAATTTCGATGCGGACCCTATTAATAAATTGAAACCCTTAATAAACAAACTATTTGTTTCGATTTCAAAATCAATTGAATTTCCTTATATAATTAAGATATTGCCAAAAATTGTATTTCGAAGCGGACCCTATTAATAACTTGAAACCCTAAATAAAAAGAAATAAAAATTTCACGGACCCTAATAATAAACACCCTGGGGTTAACTAGTTTTTATTATTACGGGGCGAAACCCACAAACGGTAGCTTTATTTTTAAGTTGTTTTCTAGGGGGGATCAATTAAAAGTCAAATTGGCCAACCTGAAATTTTCCAAAATTAGAGATGGACCCTAGTTTTTATTATGTGGGGGAGGTTTAGTAATAGGGGAAGGGATTATATATTCGTGATGTATTTATCTGTAAATACAGACATACTATCTGA